AGCTTCCTGAGAGATCCCATTTTAGGGCTCACAATGTTTTAAGTGGCTCTTATCACAAAAATGCTGAGTATCAAGACTCAGAGCGGAAATACTTCCTTGCCATCACTTCCATCTGCTTGCTCATTTGTATTTTCTGAGTCACTTAACCACAGATGATTAGCAGGAGGAATTTTGCTCTGTTGCTATTCATTTTAGGACCGCAAAACTCAAAAACATCTGTGATCTGGAGGTAAAAATACACATCCTACAGATGTGCTTTCATTAATAAACCTACTGATTTCATAGGGCTCTGCAAAAGGTAGATTTAGCAGTCTCTTGTGCAACAATTAGGAGAACAGCACTCCCTATCACGGTGCCACCTCTTGCTACATCAGTCAGGTGTTTGATCTCAAAGGCTATAATCTAAGAAAACACTTCACAGCAAACAGAGGTGCATTCCAAATAATGCAGTGTACCAGATGCTTTTCTAATCCAGCCTTACCGTGAGTACAAAGCCTGGGTGGATCCTTGCAGAGGTGATCTGTTGCTGCTGACTGATGTAAAGGAGAATCCTGTACTGGATTCAGTAAAGAATTATGCAGGAAAAAAAGAAAAATAAAAACCAACAGAAACTGAAGATGTTTTCAATTTGAGTGTGCTTAATTCTGAGCCTAACACTACAGTATTACAAAATACACCTTGCAGCATCATTTTTCACAGGAAAAATACTTTCCATAATTTTCTAACAGCTATTACGGACACTTGAAAACATGCAAGCAAAGTGGTTCAACAATAATTCTTGTGCAGTAAGCAAGATGCCTTCACTAATTCCACATTTTTCCACATTAAAAAAAAATGTGCTAACCTCTCAATACATGAAGCTCATAATGCATGATGTGCAGGAATGTAAAAGACTGAGCAATAACAGTAAGTTAGAAGGAGTTATGCAAACGTTAAAGAATTCAGAGATAACCCTGCATTGACATTTACTATGAGACATGATCTAGTAAGAAAAAATACTTCCCTTTCTGCACTTATTGTAAGGCTTCTTCACTCAGGCATAGTACTTTTTCTGCTGCTGTTCTTGTAAAAGTATAAGTAACTTAGTGAGACAATATCAATCAGGGGGAGAGAAAACACCTCGACCAGCAACATGTACAGACTGGAACATGTAAAGTATCCTTTAAATATATCACTTTTCTGGACAGTACAGACCATATTCTTAAGACTACTCGGGAAAGAAGGTTTGGAAAGGAGAGATACCAAACCACAGCACTTAAGGAAAGCATCTCTGTACTACTACACCGATTTGTGTTCTATACTGATTTTCACACACACAGATTTATGATTCAGCTGTCAAAGTTTCCAAGTAAATCACGACATCAGTTCCACAAACATCAGAAAAGGTGTAGCACCCCAAACAACAAAAAATATTTCAGTCTCAACTGAGAAGAGATCTTACAAAGAAATTTGCAGACTGCAGAAAAGATGTCATCAAGGTAAATGAACAAATAAACCAAGGAGGCAGAGAGGCATAAGCAGCAGTGGAACTAAGACCTTCAACATGCATCCCCAGTGAGCTCAGAGAAACACTGCTTCATATCAGCACATCCTCAGCATGAAAAATATCATAGTGAAGTGTTTCTCACCTCTTTAGTAGCATGGCTCCCCACTACAGCTGCTCCATACTTGCCTTGTTTCAAATACTGCCCATTTGTACTGGAAGAGAAGTGAGACACTCAGCTGTGGAACAGCCCCTGCCTCAGATATTTCCCTCTGCTGTTGCTTTTCCTCTTTAGAGTTCAGATTCCTTTCCTCATGACCAAAAGTGCCTGGGAGCACTTCTGAGCTTAAAGAAACTACAACTTTCTTGCTTACTCACAGATAACAGAAGCATATATTGCATAGTTTGAGATGGAAATTGCACGTATGCAAGGCAAGCAAGCTTTCACACGACAGCTGCAGCAAACATACAGTTACACTGCTGTCATTCTATGTTCATGCTTCAGTTTTCCACAAGTGAAGATGAGACATAAGCTTCTGACAGAGCTGGTCAGAAACTGTGCAGATGTCAGGTCAGCACACTACCATGAAGTTCCCTGCAACGCACAAACTGAGAACTTGCTGTTTACTTGGCAACTGTGCAGTCCTGAACTGACCCCTTTTTTTTGGGTAGAAGCTTGCATCGAATTGCAGCATGCAGACACCTCTACAAGATGCCTCTTCCTACTTATCCAAAAATATCTGCCCTAATGATTAGTTTCAGGTCCCAGAGACACAGACTCTAAAATACAATGCAGAAAACCACTGCTGCACTTACTATCGATAAGCATGAACCGCAGTGGCCATGAAGACTGATGGTGTTCCTGTAGCTGCTGGGGCTGTGGGTGCCTTCTGGGCTGCCTGACCTGCTGGGAAGCAGAAAGCAGCACTCAGTGACACAGAACTGCCACATCCGCTGGCCAGTGACAAGGTCATGATACATTCCTTCCACAGAACAAAATAACTTCAGCTACTGAAGGAAATGGGGCCCTTTAGTCTGGGGAAAAGAAGGCTGAGGTGAAATTTTATTGCTCTCTTCCAATATCTGAAAGGTGCTTACAGCAAGAGAGGGGTTGGTCTCTTCTCACTGGTGACAGGACGAGGGGAAATGGCCTCAAGTTGTGCCAGGGGAGGTTTAGGTTGGATATCAAGAGACACTTCTTTACAGAAAGGATTGTTAAGCACTGGAATGGGCTGCCCAGGGAGGTGGTTGAGTCACCATCCCTGGATGTGTTTAAAAACTGTTTGAGGTGGTGCTCAGGGATGTGATTTAGCAGAGGGTTGTTAGAGTTAGGACAGCATGGTTAGGTTGTGATTGGACTTGATGATCTTTAATGGCTTTTCCAACCTGAGTGATTCTCTGATTCTAACTCCAGAAAATAATTACAGAACAGAGTAATATTCTAAAGTCCCTACAGACTGCAAGAATAACCCAGATGCAGAGAGAGTACTAGAGGAAGATAATATCAGCAAAGAAAAGCTAAGTGAATATTTGCAGTGCTGATCCTCACAAAAGCCCTCATTGAGCCAGGATACCTGCTACAAAGATCTTCCTGCCATGTGATCAATTCAGCCACTTACCAGCTGCTGTCTGACCCTTCTTGGGCTGCTTTGGTGCAGTGTATTGAAAGAATTCATTTCCCTGGCTTGAGACTGTCTGATCCAGTCCAAAGAGAGAGGCCAATCTCGCACTACAAACAAAAATGAAGCAACTTACTCTATTTGACACAGACTTCATAGATAAGGAACACCATTAACTGAAAGTCACATCACACGCAAAGTGCTTACAACCATTTCAGACATAAGGTGATGTCTGTTAAGCAGCTCTATAGTTAGACATCCAGTTTTAAAAAAGCAGAACAAAGAAAGAGGGCTGAGCAGCACAACGATGTTTCATTTCCTCAAAAGTGAGCGTAAGAAGCAAAAAAAAGCCCTGAGGCAACACCAAAAGAGAAGCCACTTTAAAGCAATGAATAAGACTACCCTCCTATTAAGCAGTGCATTGTTACATTACTGGAAAAATAACATGTGACAGCAGAGAAGTCATCATTTAGCACTACAAATCTCAAGGAAATATATCCTCTCAACAAGGCTTAAAGCTCTTCTGCCAGAAGGGCAAGCTTAATACCAAAAGTAAGCCTGCAATTGCTGAAAGACACATCATTCACAGCTCTGCTGCTGTTTTAAGCCCATTTAAACTTTGCTACTCTGGGTAGTGGGACAGAAGCACGTCGATGTCTGCAAGGACAGCACCACTGAGACAGGAGCCGGAGATCTTTCAGAAATGAGCCGTTCGCTGAGCGGAGGAGCGGGAGGACGCGCAGACAGCAGCACGGCTGGGAAGCACTGTGCAGCAAGCAGTTACACAACGCGAGGCTGCGCGCTCAAACTGCTGAGCTCAGCCGCCTCCTGCGCTGAGGGGAGGCTGAGGGAGCCTGCCTGCCGCCCGGCCCCGAGCTCGGCGACGAGCGGGGAGCCCACACGGAACACCGAACCTCACGGCCCGGCCCACGGGAGGGCAGCCGGCTGCAGCCTGCCCGGCCGCCGCGCTCTCCAGCGGGGGGCACCCAGCGGCCACTCACCCGGTGGCGGGGGCCAAAAAGTCGGCGTCATCCTCCTCCGCCGCGCCGAACATACCGGCAGTCCCTCAGCCCCGCGCTGTTGCAAACGCCTCAGCCGACAGCGGCGCGCTTTGCGGCCGTAGGAAGACGGCGGGAGGAAAGGAGGCCTGGGGGCGGAGCTTAGGTGACACATCCGGTGGGCGGGGCTTAAATGACATCCCGGGGCGGGACTTAGATGGCACATCCGGGGCGGGGATAAGGGGACAATGTCAAGAGAGCGCTGCGTAGTGTCACATCCGGGGCGGGGCTTAGAGGACAAGCTAAAGGGGCGGGGCTTGGGGGACAAGTCCGGGGGGCGGGGCTTAGCGGACAGCCTCGTGGCAGTCTCGAGGTGAGTGACAGCGCGGGATCGTTTCGCGCCCTTTCTCCCCCCCCTCAGAGCTCCGCCGCTTGAGGGGATGGCGGGGTCTTTGCTGCTGGTGCCTGGCGGAGCCTCCGCAACCGCGGGGCCTCGGAGCGGGGGGGGCTCACTGAGGGCTGCGGGCAGCGAGGCGGGGGCAGGGATTGAGCGGGTGACAGCGCGCAGCCCCGCGTGGCGTTTGGGTGACCCGTCGCTTTGTCAGAGCAGACAGTGGATGTTTTAGAGTGAAACTCGCAGAGACAAACCGACATTTTTGTTGAAAAGAAACATCGCTGGCGGCAGGAGCTCCCCCAGCAGATGCGGTTTTGTGGGGAGGGGGTTTGTGCCTCTGCCCCTCGTTTCTGTCCGCTTGGCAGGCTGCGTTTAACCCGGCTCTAGTCAACGACCCACAGTCACAGCGATGCTTTCTGTCGTGTGCGCTAAAATCTGTTAAACTTCTTCTTCCTCTATCAAAAAAAGAACCTCCCCATCAAAAAAAGAACCAAAAAAAAAAAAACAAAAAAAAAACACTCAAAAAAAGCCCGGTCGAAATCGAAGTAATAAAATAATGGTAGAAGAATTAAGATTTTTGAGTCACTTCTGCTTTAAGGTGAAGTCCCTGCCAGCAGTTCTGCGGTGCAGGGACTGGAAGGGGATGGGAGGAGTTTTTTTCGTGTTCTCGCTTTCTCTGCTTGCAGAGCAGCTTCACGTTTTGGATTATTGGAACACTTTTCCCGAACAAAAGCTTCATGCCTGCGAAGGGAAGGTGCTGAGAATACTAATCTTTAACAGTCCTCTGGTGTAAATGAAAGAGAAGAGCGGCCATGTTCACACGGAGTCTTTAGTCAGTGCCCTAAGGAGCATTCTTTCAGCTCTCTTGCTTTCTAGTCAGTGTTAGTCAGAGAGAAGACAAAACTGATATATTTTGAAAGAAGTATAATGCATTCTTCTCTCCTTTTTGACTTCTGTGTTTGCTGCCAAGACTCTGCTGCCCAGCAGGAAGGTGTCATGTCGGCAGGCTTCCAACCTAAGCCATTCCATGATTCCTGCCTTCTCCACGCCTGTCTGAAGGTCACCCTGTCAGGTAGCTGTCACCTGCCTCAGTGTTGTGAAGTTGAGCTGAAGCAGACTGCCAGTGTGAGCTCCTCCAGAGATCTGTCAGGAAATCGTTTGGAATCTTGGCAATTTTTCCTTAGAGAAGGATGAAAAAGACTCAGTCTGGTTTTTTTTGTTTTGTTTTTTCCTCCTAGAAGAGCCAGCGTTAGTGATCTACTCCACTGTCTTTTATTTCAGTCTTCTTTTCTTAAATGTTCCCAATCAAATCCTTGGGTACTTGAGACCAGTGATTTTTTCATTAACCTTTTCTTCGGCTAAAAGCCAGAATCCTGTAATGCGAAGAGTAATGAAAGTAGTTACTGCAAACTAATTAACCTTCTGTTTTGTTGCACTGGAGATTAACTTTACAAAGCCTTTCATTTCTTTTTATTCTGGAAGTTGCCTTTTCTTCTCTGGAAGCCAATCTAAAGGGGGAGGCTGTGATGAAATCTCTCTTTTTGTCTTTCCTCTCTGTTCCTGCAGACTCACATGTCACATTCTCAATGTAGGTTTCTTTCCACCAGTTCACATCTGTGAGGATGCTGTCCCCTGAACAGCTGTGATTACTAGTTAGAGCAATTGCTTATCTTGAAAATATGTTAAAATTTTGTTCTTGCACTTCTACTTTGCATGCCTGTAACATTACAAAATCCCACAATCTTTTATTTTTTTCTTTTGCCACAGATGTGAAAGTCATTTATAATCTGTTTAGAGATGTGTGCATGCAGTGTTTGTTCTGACACTTGTCTAAATTAATATGGCAGACGGTGATAGTTCTGGGTCACAGGCCAAAATGTGCAAATGACTGAAATCTTCTGTTCTTAGTGGATGCTCAGCAAATCCTGATATCAGGCCTGAGAAGATGGGAGAAAATCAGAAAAAGGATGTAGCTATTCTCCAGAGTGCACCAAGTTCTCTTCCATGACCTCAGTAGAACTGCATGACATTACAGAGCTTTCTTTTCCTGTGTGTGCTTGTCAGTTATCAAAGATTTAAATCTCTTTCCTCTGATCAAGTTACATGAGCTTGGAAAATGACCTTAATGATACCTTTAGCTGATCTTTTGGCTAACTTGGGTAAGAGAAGGCCTGACAATCTCAGCTTTTTTTCTTTTTTGAAGACTTAATGCATCTCTTCTTGGGGGAGAAAGTATGTATAGTAAATACACTTCCAGGTTTTTCTTCGCAATATAGATAATTTAACTGGACTTGGATTTGTAGGATTATAAAGTGCTTTCAGGCCACCTCTGTGACGCAGCGCACTCCCTCACAGTACCAACTGATGCTTGTCAGCTTGCCAGCTAGCCTGCTGCTCCGAGAGCACAGGGAAGCAGCTGTCTGGAAGGCAGAGCCACGTGGTGGAAGGCTTCAGCCTTTTGTGGAGTACTTGTCCCTATGACCCAGACTGCTTCTCATCTGATTGCTGTTGGTGAGCTTGGTGTGGGACAACCTGAGCAGCTCTTTGCTGTCTTGGTATGTGCTGAGTGCCTGGCCTCAATGCACAGCACAGCATGGCTGTGCAGCTCCTGGCTGGGTTCCTGCGTATTGTGTCTGGACAGAGGCAGTGCTGAGAGCCAGGGATCTGATTAAGCAGTTCATACCTCACCTAACTTTTCCTGCTCTGAAAGGCTTTGTACTATAGAGATTTTACAGCATATTGTCACAGTTTGCCTGCATTTTCAAACTTGCATCCTTTACTTGGGAAAGAAAAACGCTAACAAATGGAGAGCAGACTGAAAGCCGGTGCTCCCAGCAGGCAGACAATCCCGGCTCATTCTCCTCCAGCCCTCAGGAAGCAAAGCAGCAGCACTGACATGCAGTGCTCCATGGGAGGGCAACAAGATACCCTTTGTGTTTCCGATTAGTTAGTCAACCCTTGGACATCAAAGTGATAAGGGAAGTAGCAGTGCAGGCTCCTGAGGAATACGCCCAGCCATAGAACATTATGGAAGTAAAATTCGCCTTAAACATTGTTCTGTTTTTTCTCTGTTGCATCTTTTATGGTCTTTTATTGTCTGCACTCCTGGCTGAATGAACTTGACAAGAGTCTGAGTCATGCTTTCCGTGTTCTCTGCCTGCAGAGTTTTATACAAATCAAGTTACCATCATGAATCTGGCATAAGGCATTATCTCACAAGGAAGTACTGAATTGTTGTAATGTTTAAGGTGATGTCAGGTGAGACCGGAGGATGCTGGAGAAATATTACAGAAACTGACTAACCGAAGCCTAAACAAGTTAAAGGAAAGAAAGTTCCCGATGTTGGTTGTATTTGTAAAGCCATTGTCGTGCTACCTTCTTCTTCGTGCAGGGCATGAACATCCTTGGTTATAAAATACCCTGCTATACACATAATAAAGGCGAAGACTTTTTCTTAGTGACAAAGCAGAACAGACAGATGTAATAGCCCAGACATAATGGCTCAAAATCATCTTTTGGCAGTCTTGTGACTATTCTTTGCTGAATTAAGTAAAACTCTCCAGTACATCACGAGAGTAGGATCATGTGTGCTGCATGCCAGCTGATTCCTTTTTGTGCTTGAATTTGATCTTACTTGAAGCCAATGTCCCTGCAGTAAAAGCATCTGTATTGCAGAGCATAGTACTGCTAGACTTTGTGGAACTTTTTCACATTATTAGTTTCATATCAATTGCAGAGAAGCTGAAGAGTCAGGATTTGACTGACTGTTGACACATCACTGAGTATTCTCTGAATATTGTCATCATTATCATCCCACCACATCCCTGAAAACTGATCTGCTGTTCTGAAAACTTCACGTTTCTTCAGAGTGGGGTCAATATGAAATGAAATGAAACTTGCTCTGTTGTAATATCCAAAAACAAGCAAAACACTGATTTCTTTGACAGAAATTAAAATTTGAAATGTGTCATGTGCAGTGTGTTTAGAAGTCATTTCTGCATCATGCTGAATCAATCTAATAAGGCCAGGGAGTTCTAAAATCTCCATGAATCTTTGCAAAAGTCTTTAGCTATTCCATGGAGCTTTCTGTGAGCATCCCAGCCCTTCCTCTGGTCCTGACATGGTTGGCTTCTGTCTTCTGCAGACTGTGTAGGCCAAGCAGTAAATATTTATTTTGAGTCATATGAAATCTTTGGCTGTGACAATAGGAATTGTCAATATTTTGTGAGGATGGTTTCAGCCATGGTAGAATGTAGCCGAAGTCCCTGCTGCTTCAGCCCTCATCCCTGTTCCAAATACATAGGAAAGGCTTAATATAAATATTTTCCAGTGAGTAGATTAAGGGTGATAGATCTGGTTTGAAATAGGTTACAAGTTGGGCAATAAATGGGCTTAAAGCGGAGTAAAAGTGATCACGGTTAAATCTGAGCAGTAGTTAATGATTAGTCTTTGATATAGATAAAGATACTCATTCTGCTTGTCAGCATTATCTCAAAGTTTAGAAACTTTGGTCTGTCTCATGATTGTAGCCTGTTTGGAGAAGTCTGCTCTCCTGGAGGCAGTAGATGGAAAATCTGTCTCTGGAATAGTAAGTACTTAGACTTTATTTTTTAAGTTCTGAATCATTTCTGCTTTGGATTAGCATCTCTCTGGCAGTCCAAGGGCTTGAAAGCTAGATGAAAAAGGCAGTGTTTAAGGCTTTTTTCCAGCATGATTTATTGTCACAGAGAGCTGGGGTCAAACATCTGTTGATGGCTATCAGTTATAGCTTTCCATGCCCTAGAGGTAATCTTGTCAGAAGAGTGTCATGAGACCAAGACTACTTCACTCTTACAGAGGCAAGTTCCTTCTCGGAGAATGGCTTCATTCCGTTGCCCTTTCCTGTTTCTTGATATTGCAGGAGATCTCTCTTACTGAGGTGAAAGCAAGTAAACATAGGATTGTATTTTTGCCTCTTCAAAAGTGAAAAAATGTAGAGGTAGGCTGTTCTATGGACTATGGCTATGAATTTGTCCTCTGAATTCTTACAGGTACTGGCATGACTGTATGCCACATATGCCATACTCTTACTGTTATTTGAGATCAGAGAGCAAAAGTAGGAAAGTGCCTCTGGAGATATGTGTTTTAGCCTTTAACCAGCTGCTGAAACACAGACTGACTTAAAGCACTATAGAATGGATTTTGCTGATGATGACTTATGTTCTACTTTGCATTTTGCTCAGAAACAGCTTTGGTTTCTTAAACTGGTGTTACAAACAATCAAGGCACAAAAGAATTTGTTTCTTGTCTCTGGTAGAGCAAGCTTTTGTTTTATGGCATAGGTGGTGATGCAAAGTTAGGTGAACAGGCATGCATTGTACTCCTGTAAGCAGGGAAAACAGTGTTTTCCTAAAAGTCTCTTTTGCAGACTATTAGGCCATTAGTGAAAAGCCCACATTTAAAAGGTGACCCTGACATGCCAGACTTGGAAATCCAAGTGTGTTCCCATGCGAGCTGACATCAACAGTGCAGGGCTATTGCGCCAGTGCCTGGCACAGGCTGGAACAGACAGCTCCAGGGAAGGAGAGTGGTTGAGTGGCCGCCTTAAAGTGCTGTGTCTGCACATGGGCCCATACCTGTTTGTAAACGAACAGCCACTTAACTGTGAGAAGAAATGAAGGAGAAATTAGAGTGAAATGTGCTCCTGGGATTTTTATGCAGGGAAGCTCTCACGTGTGGTAGAAGCTAATGCATGATGAAGGTGTTGCTCTATGATGAGTGTGTGATGTTACTGGAGATGGAAGAGCATGTATGAATTGCTTAGATCAATATGTTTCATATCATACGTGTGGAATGGATTCCAAGATTGGATTACCAGAGACTTCTGGAGAGTGGTTTTCTTTTCCAGAGTCTAAAACATATCTGAAGGCCAGTTTAGAACTTGTGTGACTGTTGTCTTTTCCTGGGATAAGTCAGGATATGATGGTGAAAAACAGCCAAAGGAGAAAAAAGCTTATTTTCCACATGTGCACATTTGTGTCTATGGCTAAGTTATTATTAGCTGATCCTTTAAATTAAAACTATCTTTGTTAC